GGGGCTGGGGTGGGGTGCTGGGGCGGGATAGCAAGGCAGGGCGCTGGCACGGGATGTCGGAGTAAGGTGCCAGGGTTGGATACTCAGGTGAGATGCCAGGACAAGCTGCTGAGAAGTGGGCGCTCTGGGGTGGGGACAGGATGGCACGGTGCGGTAGGGCAGGATGGCACACTGAGGTGGGGGCAGGATGGCACATAGTGGGATGGGGGGCAGGATGGCACACAGTGGGATGGGTCAGGATGGCAGGCTGGGATGGGGAGAGGGTTGCACGGTGGGATGGGGAGAGGATGGCACATTGGGATGTACCAGCCCCACACAGTGCCCAGGGCTCACCAAAGGGCTGCCTGCCTGGGCAGGGCAGAGCCCAAAGCACATCAGCAAGGGGGCTGGGAGACAGGTTGCCTCATGCCAGGCCAAAGGAAGGAGATGGCACAGAGAGAAACGGTGGCCTGGCACGGGACAGTGAGCTGAGACAGTGAGGCGAGCTGGCACGCTGCGGCAGCCTGGCATGGTGGGGTGACCTGGCACAGCTCGGGGACTTACCATGGTGTGGTGACTTGGCACGGCAGTCACCTGGCACTGTGCAGTCACCGGGGCCAGTGCAGTGAGCTGGCACCGTGCAGCGATGTGGGTTGGCACAGCGTGGTGGCTGGGCATGGCACAGAGCAGATATCTCTGTGTGTGTGCACACACGTGTGCAGGCTGAGCGTGCCCGTGTGCATGTGTGTGGCCATGCAGGGTGCCCGTGGCCAGGATCCATGGGGTGTTCCACAGCGGGGGACGGGGACAACAGGTCTCTCACCTCGGTGCCCAAAAGTGCATGGGGTGAGAGTCCCGGTGTGCACCCAGGTCCTAGGGACCACGTCTGACCGTGCCCCCAGGTGGGGATCCATGCTCCCACACACGTATCCACACTCCCAGGAGTGTGCACCGTGGTCCCCCCACACGTGGGCATCGTGGTGGCCTCGCGCTCTCCTTCTGTCCCAGCCCCTAGCGTGAGCGCCTCTGCTGCCACCGCTGCCGCTGCTGCCCATTAATTATTGAGGGGCGGAGGCTGATTACAGGGCCATGGACAAGCAGCCTGAATATTTCATCAGGCCGGGACGTGGCGGGAGCAGCTCACCCTCCTGCCCGACCATCTTACACCCGGGATGCTGCCTGGCACCTGCCGGACCCCCGTGGGCAGGGAGAGGTAGCCCGGGGGTGTCACGGGACACCCTGGGGTCCCTGCAGCTGCACAGTGCGTGTGTGTGTGCACACACGTGTGTGGTTTTGGCTGTGTGCACCTCCACATGGTGCATGCACGAGTGTGTGTGCACTGGTGGGAGACCATGGGGAGCACCCTCGCACGTCTCCGGTGCATGGTGTGACGTGCAGGGCAGGGTTCCTCCATCTGGGGACACCAGGACAGCAATGACACCCAGCTCTGCTTTGCTCCAGCACCAAGGGAACCAAGGGATGGGGTGGGAGGAGACATTGCAGGGGTTTTGGGACCCCCACCCCGGTTTGTCAGCACCAACCGCAGGGTTCTTTCTTTCCATCCCAGGTTTTTCCTCAAGTTTTTTCTCAAATGCAACCAAAACTGCCTGAAGAATGCGGGGAACCCCCGGGATATGCGGCGCTTCCAGGTGAGCACCCAGCACCCCCCCTCCAAACCCTGCCCCACACACCGGGACTGCAGGAGGGAGCAGGGTTGGAGACCTCATATATTTTACCGAAGGGCTGGAGGGGAATTGGGAACTTCATTCCCCAAACGGGACTAAAGTCTCTTAATTCCCCTTGACCCCTTGCAAACCCTAATTTCCCTTGAAACCCTTTGCACACCCCAGTTGCCCTCACCCCCTTTGCAAACTCTTCTTTGCAACCCCCAGTTTCTCTCCCTCCCTTTGCAAACCCTGATTCCCCTTGAACCCCTTTGCAAGCCCCAATTCTTGAACCCCTTTGCGAACCCCCGTTCCTTTCCCCCCCTTTTGCAAACTCTTATTTCTTTGCAAACCCTAATTCCCCCCCACACCCCTTCGCAAACCCCAACTGGCAAACTCTGATTTCCCTCCATCTCTTCGCAAACCCTAAGTCCCCTCGCCCCCTTGGCAGCCCCCAGCTCCCCTCGTCCCCGCGCGCTCCCCCCGCGTCCCCTGCCCGCAACCCAGCTCTCCCTGCAGCAGCTGGAGGTTCGGGAGCGGAGCAGAGTGTGTGGGGGGGGTGCATGCAGGGTATGGGCTGGGGTGTCCCTTGGGGTCCAGGGTCCCCCTGGGCTGGTGACACAGGGGATGGGATGGGGTTTTGCCCAGGGATCGAGGTCCCCCAGGCTGGTGACATGGTGACAGGCTGGTGCTGGGGTCCTGTGGCACTGCGTGCTGCACATAGGTATGCACACACATGCATGCACACAAGTGCTCGTGCATGCACATACATGTGCAGATGCACACACACCCCTTGGCACATGCACACGCGTGCACACCTATGCACACGCAACTGTGCACAGCCGTGCAGGTGCAGATTTGCTCACGCATGTCACCGCCAGGGCACAGAGGGTCCAGAGGGCACCCTTGGTGGTCCTGGCATGCTGAAGGGAGTGGGGGGACACTGGAGACGAGCAGGGGGCAAGGTGACATACCCCAGGGAGGGCGCGGGGGGGATGGTGACCCTGAGCTGGCTGTCCCACAGGTGGTCGTGTCGACGACGGTGAACGTGGACGGCCACGTCCTGGCTGTGTCTGACAACATGTTTGTCCACAACAACTCCAAACACGGGCGGCGGGCACGGCGCCTCGACCCCTCCGAAGGTGAGTCCCTGCCGAGTGCCCAGCATGCCCACGCACACACACACACCCCCACACGGAACACGTGCCCATGCACATGCGTGTGCTGTGCCCTGGAACGTGTGCACAGCCATGCGGAGGGGCAGACACACATCCATGCCAGTGGGTGCTGTTCCTACTGTGGCATCCTCTGCCCCAGCAATGCCAGAGCCAGCCCCATGGCCATGTGTGCCCCACGGTGCCAGGGCAGCCCCAGAGACCACGTCCCCATGCTGGGACCCCCATGGGGGACATGCCTGTGCCCATCTCTGCCCCACACCGCTCAGAGGCTGCAGCTCCCCCATCCCTGGCACCTCCCTGCTGGGCACCCCAGGCACCCTGGGCAGCCCTGGCGGTGGGCACCCAGCCCCATATTTATGCTTTGTCCATCTGTCCGTCCGCCCAGCACACATATACAGCCTCTCCATCTACCCGCTGTGCACCTGCGTTTTCTGTCTGCCCTTTCGTTCCTCCGTCTGTTTTGTGCATGCAGGCTGTCCTACCCTCCTGGGTGCCCTCTGTCCGTCCACCGCTCTGTCCATCCATGCATCTACCACATCTTTCTGTGTCCCTCTGTCCATGCATATGTGCCCTGTCCACCAGTCTGACCTGTTTGCTCTCTCTGTCTGTCCCGTGCATGCTCTATCCAACCCCTGCCCCAATGTGTTCTCCATCCTCTCCCCTCCATCCCTCCCTCCCTCCCTCACTGTCCCCATCCCCTCCCCACTGTCCCCATCTGTCCCCCTCAGCCTGGTCACCCCCCCCCCCCACCGCCAGCCCCT